TCCTCCTCCTCCTCCTCCTCCTCCTCCTCCTCCTCCTCCTCCTCCTCCTCCTCCTCTGCAATCGGCGGTGAGCTGGGGGGAAACTAGAAAGAGAGGGACTTCTCAGAGGGCTCGAAATCCCCCGGCCTTCTGAGAAATTGCATCTGACACTTCCCCGAGGAGACTGGACGCTTCTCAAAGGCCGGAAGGCTTCTGAGAAGCCCCGCCGCCTTCTGAGAAGGCCTTCTCCTTCTCGCTTCCCCCCCTCGCTCGCCGCCCATCCTCCTCCCGATGTAGGCAGGGCGACGAGATCTACACGTGTCCCTTCTCCCTGGCCAGGCCACTCCTGAACCCCGCAGCGGCACGGGCAAGCCCCTCCCACCCCGAGCGCTCCCCATCGGGGCCTGGGGGGAACGGCGGAGCAACCGCCGGGGTCCCCACCCCGCGCCAGCTTTCGGGCAAGCCGGCTGCGACCGGCGCTCGTGGCTCCGCGTGGGTGCCGCCGCCTAAGTACGCCGTCGCCGACGGTAATGGCTGGCTGCGTGGTCGCTGGGCGGCGCTGCTGCTGCGCCAGCATGCTCTGGGGGAAAGAAGAATGGCATAAACATAAAACACTTGGAGGTCCGCGCTGACTTCTCGGCTTGGCGCTGGACCCCCCTGGAGGCGCCTCCAGCGCCGCCCCTGGCGAGCTCCGCGCGCCTGGGAGGGGGGTCTAGCGCGGATCCGAGAAATCAGCGCGGACCTCGGACTTGTTGTGTTTATGTCATCGTTTGTTTCCCCGAAGCATGTTCACTCACACTGCCGTCTGCGCGATCTGCTGTGACAACTGGAGGTGGCCCCTGCCCTGTAGGCCGAGGGCATCAGCAGGCCCCGCCCTCACGGCATGCGACTGCGAGGGCCTCCTTGGGGAGGCTCGGGGAGCCAATTTTCTGAGGACGTCGCATTCGTCGCCAGATTTCCCGGATTTTCAGAAACGGCACAAGGGGGCCATCTGAGGGCCTCATTGAATTGTCGAGGCTTGGGGGGCAAGTTTTCTGAAAACGCGAGGGCGCTGGTGTGGGATTCTTGCCGGATTTGCCGGAATCTGAACGGAGAGGGGGCGGTTGGCGGGCCCATTCTCTCGCGCGCCCCAGGTCAGGATGACGTGAGTTCTCAAGACAAGCTTCCTCAAATGAGGTGAAGGAGGCAAAGTAGCCGCTCGTGCCGGCCATTCTTATGCGTACCATCCCCTCCCACCTCGCCCCGCCCTCTTCTTGGCGACTTCTTGTGCATGTGGGCTGGGAGAGCGCCAGATAGCTGATCGTGTCGGCCGCTCCCATTCTTCCATGCCCGTGGTGCCCTCGCCGTGCTGCGAAGCCGACTTTGTTCGTTGTTCTTGCGTGTTGCTCGTATGCGGCCGTGCAGATCAGTAAACGAGTTCTGTTTACAGCTGAATACCTTGGCCTGGCTGCAGCTCGCTAACCATCAAGGCGTGAGATCCTCCCTTTTTCCTGCCGGGGCGCTTTGAGATTTGCGCTTTGTTCGTCGCCGCCGTCAGTCGTCGTTTGTTCTGGGCGTGGATGCGAAGATAATTCCGCTTTCTCCAACGCCGACGGGACCGTTTCTGTCTTGGCATTGCGCGCCGAGTGGGAATCCCCCTGTGATGCCTCCATGCGACCTAATTGGCTTGCTGAGTTGTGTAGGGGTGGCGTCTGTGTCCTAGCCTTCCTCCTTTCCTCTTGGCCTGATCTTTCCCTCCCTGCGCCTATCCTCCAGTGCCCAGGTAGGGTACAGCACGCGTGTATTGTATCCCTCGGGCTATCTGTCGCCCCCTGTTGTGGAGGGAGGGGGTTACAATATGGTATGGAGGGCATGGAATCCTTGCTTCGGTTCGACGCGTCTCGGCCGCTCTGATCCGGGGTCCCTTCGTACTGTACTGAACTTGCCTCACCTGGTGCCCGTGCAGATGCCAGGCTTTCAAGTGCGGTATTCGCTGGACTTGTTAGTTTCTGCTAGCTGTCGCGCCACACTCTGCTGACAGGCTTTCACCCACATCAGCGTCGCAATGCCATCCCCCCTTAATCCCCCTACCGCCCTTTCCCCGTCCACCTCACTCCCCCGCCGCTCTCCTCACCGCCCTGTCCCCCTTCTCCTCCTTCTCCCCTCCCTCGCGTCGTGTCCCTTTCCTCCTCCCCTGACACCTCAGGCCGGGACCCGGTGGAGAGGACAGTGACGTACTGCCGCGCTAGGCACTCCGTCTCGTTGGCAAGCCACAGCGCCTTTTCGAGGCTCGGGCCGTAGCAGATCATACCGTGGTTGGCCAACAGGCAGCTGCGCTGCGAGCCCAGCGCCGACAGCATCGACTCGGACAGCTCCTGCGTGCCGAACGTCTCGTACTTGGCGCATTCGATGGCCTTCCCGCCTCTGCTGGGAGGAAACAAACGGTCCTGCTCGGGGACCTACTGCCCCGGTTCAATCCAGACCCGGGTCAGTCAGGCTTGGCAAGATTCAGCAAGATCCTGCAAGATCCTGCGCTCAGGCCTGGGTCAATGCAACCCTGGCTCTGCAGAGCCTGCAAGATCTGGCGCTCTGAGTGACCCCCGTTTGCATCGACCCCCGTCCCTTGAGCCCCGAGTGGGCAGCGGGTCTGGTCGACCAGCCGCAGCTGAGGGAGCGGTGCTCCTTGCCTCCGTGGCGGGAAACCATCGCGTCAACGAAAGATCCGATGGGCCCCCCCAGGGGTCAATGACCACGGCCCCCCCCCGCTGTGGCCAGTCGGTCCACGGCCCCCCCGAGGGTAGGTAGATTTAGGTCGGGCATGTCCCCCTGCGGGCGGATTTTGGACGAACAATAAAAAATATTCAAAACATGGTCAAAAATAATGAAACAATGATAGAAACATCGTCCTCGGGCAATCTTTCTTACTATGTTTGAATATTCCTCCTGTGGAGGGACACGCCCGACTTGAAGGTAGATCTTCTTTTCGAGCGCGCGCGCCACCTCAAGCGCGCTTTGCGCCCCATCGGTCCGAGAGTGCCATTCGTGTGGGGGATGGGGCTGGCGATCGATCGAACTGCGAACGAGAACGACGAATGCAAAGCTGCTGGAACAGTCGCCCAGCTTGTAAAATACAGTGGAGGCCCATGCCAAGAAACACCCCGCCCGCTTGCAGGGTGCCCTGGGTTTGTGAGGCGTCGATGGTTTTGCTATGGAGAGCGTGACGTTCCCACCCCCAAAATCGATGGACGTCCTGGGGTTCCAGGGTTGGGCTTCTTGTGGAAGGTTTCTCGCGGTCGTGCGCCAACGTATACATCCTTCGTTTGATATCTTAGGATGCGCGATCGCGCTTCCATCAAAACGCGTTCCTGAACAAACTGTCATCTACCCTCTGGGCAGGGCGCCCCCCCCCCCCCACTGGGGCCATGGCGTGGGGGTCCTGCTTTCTCCGCGCGTCGACCCTGGAAATCTCGACACTTTCACGGGCCCGGCTTCTTGCCCTGAGCTGTCTTCTCGCGGCCCTGGGGCCCCGCGAGGGCCCCCCTGCCGCAGAGCCTGCCGTCGTGACCTCCTCGTGGCCCGAGGGGGTCTGGGCCCTGTGCTCTGTCCTGGCAGTCGCAAGGCCTCGCTGGGGAGGCCCCCCTGCCATGCGGGGTGAGCCCCGGAGCGGCGGAAGAGCCTCTCGGGGCCCCCCTGGTCGGAGGGCGGCGGAAGTTGCCGGAAGTCCCCCTGGAGGCCCCGCGGGAGGAGGGGGGGGGCGCGGGGGCGCCCGCGAAAACGCACGGTGATTGGAGGAGGCCTGGAAATGGGCACCAACACCAACACAGGGGGTCGCCTTCACAGAGGGAAGATGATCTTCGATTTCGGTGTTGGTGGTAATATTTCGGCCACCTTGGAAGCCAAAATATTACCACCATCACCGAGATCGGGATCTTCTTCCCTCGGTGGAGGCACACCGCCGAAATTGGTGTTGGTGTCAACCTCTAGGCCTGCGAGGTGACACAGCATGCGACGCCCAAGTCTCGAGGCACCTCGAGGCGCCCTCCCTCTCGTGGGGGGTCGCCTGCAGCCGCCACCATGTAGTGGAACGCCGGGATGTCTTGCCTCTGGCACGACAGCGCCGTGCAGTAGGTGGGGTGCGCGTGCACCGCAGCCATGGCCTTGCGGGGGGGGGACGGAGGGCGGAGCACGAGGGGAGAGGAGAAAGCAGGACGAAAGGAGGAGGAGGAGGAGGCGAAGGGGGGAGAGCGGGGAGAAGGATGGCTGCGCTGGCCTCGGGAACCCGCTTATAGATGTCGAAGTGCATGCGCCACTCGCTTGAGGGCGCGAACCTCCAGGGTCAGAGAAGAAGGATGCGGAAGAGGAACACAACGAACAGTAGCAGGAACATGAGAAGGAGGATCATGTTCTTCATCCTCGCCCTCATCCTCATCTTCCGCGTCGTCAGGAGGAGGGAGGAGGGATGAGGAAGGGTGGAGGATGAAAAAGGGGTGAGGAGGGAGGAGGGGAGGGTGCGAATGAAGAGGGGAGGAGGAAGCGAGGGAGGGAGGGCCGGAGGAGGAAATACAATGAGGATGATGGGGATGCAGTTGAGGGTTGATGGGGGGATGCGGGCCACTGCTCCTCCTCCTCCTCATCCTCCTCCTCCTTCTTTCCTCCCCCTCCTCCTCGTCACTTCGCTCCCCCCTCCTCGTCCTCCCCAGCTCCCCGACCCCGCGCCCACTCCCAGGGCGAACTCTCCGGAGTAGCACCCGTCCATGCTCACGTAGACGACTTGCTCTGGCCTCTCGGACTGGCGTCAAACCCCGGCCTCTGTCCTAATTGTCCTCGGCTGCTTGCTGCTCCTCCTCCTCCCCTCCCCTTCATCCTTCCTTCACTACTGTTCCTGCTGCCCCTGCTGCTCCTGCTGCCCCGCCTCCGCTTCCAACCTCTCCTCCTTTTTCCTCCTCTTTCGTCATGGTCATCATCGCCCTCATCCTGTTCTCCTCCCCTTCGTGCTGCGGTCGTTGATTCCGTTTCTCGGCCTGTTCGCCCAGGTCTGGATCGAGGCACCTGAATGTCTCGACTCTCCTCCGTCGCCTTGACGGGCAGGGGTACTCTGTGGAGTTTCCAGTTCCCTTGTCCGCCAAGGCGGATGCCCTGGACATGGTCTTCTGCGACGAAGACCCCACCGTGGCGCAAGCATGAACGGGATGATGATGAAGACCGCCCTCGTCGTGTTCGGCATCGGGATGATCGAAGTGGATGGCGCCATCGCAGGCGCAAACAAGGGCAGTACAACGCATGCGCGTCCTGCAACCACTGGGGGTACGCCCCATCGTGGGAACGAAGTGTGCTCGAAGTGCGGTGGAGCCTACGTCGATCGAGGTGCTGCTGGTGGAGGTGGACGTGGTGCCCCTGCTGCCGCCCCTGCTGCAGCAGCGCCTGATCACCATGCTGAGCAGCTTCGTGCTGCCGCGGCCACTCTGTTGGCGGCGCGTCCTGAGCTCCAAGCTTCCCTCGGCGACCTGGCAGCGCCGCCTGCGCCCCGAGCGCTGGCCCCCGCCCCCTCGCAGCTCGACACTGCGGCGCACATCGAGCGGCCCCGCCAAGCCAAAGTGGTGGGGGATGCGGCCCGACAGGTTCGGCTGGCGCGCCGGGAGGTTGAGCAGAAGCGTACCAAGACCCAGAAGATCCGCGAGCAGCTCGAGGAGGCTCGCGAGGCCCTGCGAACTGCTGGGGAGGAGCAGTGCGGCGCCCAGCAGGCCCAGCGCGGCGCCGACCAGGCCATGCAGTCCTTGGAAGGAGGCCAAGGCAGCGGAGGCGCGCGAGGCCGAGGCCGAGCCCCTGCGCCAGCAGCGGGCTGCGCCCCCCACTGCTGCAGCCGCGGCGCGCGCGGCCGCCGCTCCCGCCCGCCCCGCCGGCGCCGCTGGCCCCGCTGGAGATGCCCGCGCTGCGGGCGATGCTGGTCGAGCGCCCATGGTGGCGAAGCCGCCCGACTTTGCCGCCAAGTCGGCGGACGAGCCCGCGGCCTGGGCAGGTGGGCACAACATGCCTGCAGGCCTGTGGGAGGCGTTCGTGGCTATGCGCGCCACCATCCAGAGTGCTGAAGAAGATGCTGGCAGTGATGCTGGCAGTGACGCAGGCGGAAGCGATGCAGGTGCTGGCGATGATGAGCTGCGCGCCCTTAAGGAAGCGCGGGCAGGGGCAGGTCTTCACTGCGGAGGGCCAGCAGCGAATGGAAATACTCATTGTGGCCCGCGCAAAGAACAGCACGGCCGAGCGCCTGCGCACGACCAAGGCGCATATCAACGAGTACTTCACTGAGCTTCTCCGCCTCTGTCCCAGTGCCGGGCCCTCTCTTTAGCATCCGTTGGCGCGCTGAATGTCTAAAGTCCGAGTGCGCGCGTGCGTGCGCGAGTGGCCCGCCTCAGGCAACCCCGCTGGGCTTCGAGGCCCAGGGGGAAGTGTTGCGGGGTCAGTGGCAATCGTAAGGCCCGCGGGCCCTTCGAGTGCAGCGGGCCCCCGTTCGGGGGCTGCTGTCGGCGCGAGGAGCGGGAATCGCGCCGCTGCTGCACGCAGCGCGGGCGGGATCCGCTGCCGCGGGGGGGCGGGGTAGGGGGGGGGGGGGGGGGGCTCGGCGAGCGCCCCGAGGCCCCCCCCCACCCCCAGGGCAAACGCGCACGCGCGGCTTGCCCCCCGCTTGCCAAGAAGATACTGATGCGAAGTATCATGGTATCCAGTTGGTGCATTGCAACATCGCTTCATGGTGCAAGGTCGCTCAAGACTTTGCTTCTGGCCTCCTGGGCCGCTCGGATGCCTTCCTTTTTTGTGAGCACCGCCTGCAGCAGAGCGCACTGCCTCGTGCAGAGAGAGAGAGAGAGAGAGAAACAAAAAAAGAGAGAGAGAGAGAGAGATCGCCGCGATAGGCTGGAGGCCGCATCTGTAAGCGGGCGTTCCAACAGAGGGCGGTGGGAAGCACGGGAGCGTCGGGATTGCGGTGAGCAAGAGCCTGTACTTTAAGCGATTCCTGGTCCATCTGGGCAATGCCACCGATATTGGCTCGGGTCCTGGATCACTTTAGAGCTGAAAACCCAGAAAGCTGTGATGGCTGTTGGGGTCTGGCATGTTGTCTCGTGCCTGGAAGTCTCGGGGGGCAACCTGTCCAAAATGCGAGGCATCGCCGGGTCCGTTTGTGTTTTTGGGATTCCCTGGGTGCCGGTCGGAGACTTCGACATTGTCGTCGAAACGATGTGGCTCTCCGGGCATCCCCAATCTGTGTATGCTCGAGTGATGGCACCACTGGGGGTGGACTTCACATGCTCGCAGGGGTCAGGCACTATGATTGACGATGCGTTGGTTCCCCATGATCTGGAACCCTATGTGCAAATTGGAGTCGATGAGACCTCACCATTCAAAACCCACACAGGTGTCCGTCAGTCCACAGTGATCACCGTGTCTTGGTTCCGTTGCGGCGCTACTTTTTTCAGATGACGAGTCCTGGCGACGGAGGGATGAAGACGGCCCTGTGCAGTTGGCGCGCCTCATCCCTCACGCGGCGGTGCACTTGGATGAACGGGCTTCTGTGCAGTACTCCCTGCGGTCTCGTGCCATTGAGTGCATGTTCCTCTCTCGCGCTTGTGCTGCTACCGATGGCGATGACGAAGGTGAGTCTGGAGGGAGAGGTGCTGCTCTGCATCTGGTCACGCCCGCCATCGTTCATAGGGTGGGGGAACGGGAACAGCGCATCGGAATCCGGCTCTTGCGTACTGGTCGCGTTTGTCGGCTGAGCGGTTTGAACTTCGCACTGTGCTTCGACCAGGCCCCACCGAGTGCCGAGTCCACGGCCTGATCATGGAGATGGCCTCGCGGGTTGGCGGGTTCCCGTCCGTCTTGCCTTCTGCTCAGCCTGTCCCCTGGTGAACCGATCGAGTCACCTATCGGGCATTGGCTGGCCCCGAGATGGTGGGTCGCCTTGTTGAGATCACCGCTGCGGTCTTGAAGCGCGCCTGGGCTGATGCTAATGCGGCCGCCAGGAAGGGCCTGAAGGACTGGCTCGTCCGCGCAAACCCTTACGGGGCTCGAGGGGTCCACTCCCGGCGCAAACGCGACACTAAGAATGCCTTTGAGTTTTCCCCCCGGTGGCGTGAAACAGCTACCTGAAGAAATGATGGACCATCGGGCTCAGTCGTTGGGGGGGGGGGGGGCGACGGGTTGTTACTGTGGCCCGTTGGGTGTTAGTGTGGCCCGTTGGGTGTTAGTGTGGCCCGTCGCGCGGCGGGATGGGAGTTACTGTGGCCCGCGCAGGCCGCTCAATGAACAGTAATATGTAAAGGTATCTCATGTTAGATCTGGAGAGATTCGCAACCCCTAAGGGAATGCACTCCCGCGCAGGCAAAAGTGGCCACAGTAACTCCCACCTGGAACCAACGTGGTAGTAGTGCTGTGTTAGTGGTGTGGTGGTCGCTGTGCTGTGTTAGTGGTGTGGTGTTGGTAATGTTGTGTTAGTGGTGTGGTGTTGGTAGTGGCTGGTTGTGCTGTATGCTGTGTTAGAAGTGTGGTGTTGGTAGTGGTGTGCTGTGTTAGTGGTGTGGTGTTGGTAGTGTTGTGTTAGTGGTGTGGTGTTGGTAGTGTTGTTGAGTTGTTAGTAGGTAGTAGTGTTGTGGTAGTGGCAGTGGTGCTGTGGTAGTGGTGTTGTGGTAGCGGTGTTGTGGTGTTGTGGTTGTGGTATCGTGGTAGCGGTGTAGTGGTGTTGTGGTAGCGGTGTTGTGGTGTTGTGGTACTGGTATTGTGGTAGTAGTGCTGTAGTGTGGTAGTACAATGGTGCTGTAGTGTTGGTGTTAAGTAATATCGTTCATAAGGAGTACTAGTCCTACGGAGTACTAGCCGCAGGGAGTGCTAGCCCCAGGGAGTACCAGTCCTAGGAATTACTACCCCTAGGGCGTACTCGTCCAAGGGAGTACTCGTCCTAGGGAGTACTCGCACTACGGAGTACCAGCCCTAGGGAATACTAGTCCTAGGGAAAGCTAGTCCGAGGGAGTGCCAGGTAGTACTGGCGCTAGGGAGTGCTAGCCCTAGGAAGTACTGGCGCTAGGGAGTGCTAGCCCTAGGGTGTTAGGGACGACGTAGTAGTAGTAGTAGTAGTAGTAGTAGTAGTAGTAGTAGTAGTAGTAGTAGTAGTAGTAGTAGTAGTAGTAGTAGTAGTAGTAGTAGTAGTAGTAGTAGTAGTAGTAGTAGTAGTAGTAGTAGTAGTAGTAGTAGTAGTAGTAGTAGTAGTAGTAGTAGTAGTAGTAGTAGTAGTGGTAGTAGTAGTAGTAGTAGTAGTAGTAGTAGTAGTAGTAGTAGTAGTAGTAGTAGTAGTAGTAGTAGTAGTAGTAGTAGTAGTAGTCGTAGTAGTAGTAGTAGTAGTAGTAGTAGTAGTAGTAGTAGTAGTAGTAGTAGTAGTAGTAGTAGTAGTAGTAGTAGTAGTAGTAGTAGTAGTAGTAGTAGTAGTTAGTAGTAGTAGTAGTAGTAGTAGTAGTAGTAGTAGTAGTAGTTAGTAGTAGTAGTAGTAGTAGTAGTAGTAGTAGTAGTAGTAGTAGTAGTAGTAGTAGTAGTAGTAGTAGTAGTCGTAGTCGTAGTCGTAGTAGTCGTATTTCGGGAAGCCCAAGAGGCTCTTCGGAGAGCCCAAGAAGCGCTTCGGGTGCCCCAAGAAGCTCTTCGGAGGCCCCACGAGGCTCTTCGGAGAGCCCAAGCGGCTCTTAGGCGGCTGGAAGAAGGTCTTCGGCGGCTCCAAGAGGCTCTTCGGAGAGCACCAGAGGCTCTTCCGAGAGGCTCTTCGGTGAAGGGGGGGGGGGGCGGAGCCTTTTTTGCCCCCCCCCCCCCCCCCTTCACCGTACTCGATAATTAATACACTCCGGAGGACCTCTGGCCATACTAACACCCACCGGGCCGCAGTAACAACCAACGGGCCGCAGTAACACCTTATCTCGGGGGGGGGAGGGGGGGGGGCTCTTGGCAGGTTTCGCCCGAGGAGATAATGAGGTTGGGAGTCGACATGTCTGACCTCCGCGGCGTTGTGTTAGAGGCTGCTCAAGCTCCCCCCGATCACGGCCCAGCACACCCAGGTGTGCAAATTGTTCTTTGCCACTTCCGCTGCGGGGGCTGACGGATGGAAGCCTCGCGATTGCTGAGCTTCCATCCGAGGCGCTTGATGCCCTGGCGTCTTCATATTCGCTGTGCGGAGTGCGAATGGTCTGGCCTGAGCAGATTCTGCTCGGGCTCATTGCGCTGCTCCCCAAGTCCCAGGTCGATGGGCGACCTATCTGCAAATGCCCCACCCTGCACCGTCTGTATACTAAGATCAGAAGGGCGGACATTGATCGGTCGACTACGGAACACATTGCCTTCCGGGACACGGCGGCCAAGGGACCGCCTGCCTTGAAAGCCGCGCTGGTTCGCGAGCTCTACCATGAATGTGCGGTCCATGAGGGAGCGGTTTCCGTTGCGCCCCATCGGGGCCTGAAGGAATTTTCCGGTGCTGTCTGCCAGCGGTTGCCCATCCGACTGGCCCTGGAGGCTAACTATCCTCCCCATCTGTTGTACCTGGGCACGTTGATCCACGCGTCCCCGCGCATGTCGGCAGTTGTTGGCAGTGTGTCGCGCATGTTGCAACAGGAACGTGGGGTCCTGCCTGGATGTTCCCAGAGCATGTCCTGGGTGAAATTCTGTGCACATGAGGCCCTTGAGGCCTGCCAATATAAAATGAACGGCGAGCTCTCTAGGTCGATGACATCGCCCAGAACATCGCTGGCCAGGACCAGGAGCTCCAGACGCAAACCCTGCCAGCTGCCGTTCGTTTTGCGCGCGAGATTGAGCACCTTGGCCTGGCGCCGAGCAGCAAGAGCGCTCTTGTCTGTTCTTCCCAGGCTGTGGGAGCTCAACTCGCTTCTACCCTTCAGGCTGCGGGCCGTCCAATACGCTGCCAGTTGCATGCTCGGGATTTGGTTTCCTGCGCGACGGCTGAAAGCAAGCGGAGGGTCCCTGAGACCAAACGGCAGAGGCTTGAATCGCGGCGCCGCGCTGGCAAGGTTGCGACGCTGTCGCGCTTGTATCGGAAGGCCCCAAGCACGTCAAACCCGGCGCAGTGTCGGTCGGAACCTGGGGCCACCGGCTGGCGGGCACGCCCCCCCCCCACCGCCACCACCAGCTGCATACTGTGAGGGGCCAAGCGGCCCAGTGCTCTGGGTGTTCCACTACTGTCCTGGCGCTGGTGTCTAGTAACTCGGACGACCCTCCTTTTTGCCTGCGGCATGAGCAGATGCTTCACTTTGCCGATCTGTGGCGCGATCTCGGCCCTCGAGACCGCGCGCGCGTCAAAAATGTTTGGGTTGCTGCGGTCGACCTCTGTCTGAGCACCCCCGCCAGCTGTCGTTGGCGACGGGCGCGGGGGCCAGCGATGGCGACGGTGGCCACCCTTTCCATGTCGGTTTGGAGTGGACTCCCACCTTCCCTTGCGAGTGGCAACGTGAGTTTGGCTTCGTGTTGGCCGTTGAGAAGAAAACCTGTGCTTTCGGTTTTGCCTTTGGAAGGGCCCCCCTGGTTACCTGTTCCCGTTGGACCTGGGAAAATGCCGCTGGGCACTACTTGGGCGCTGGGGGCCTCGAGGCCATTGTTGGCGCGACTTCTCCGTGCCGGGGCGGTTGTTGGCGCTCTGGGCGGGACCTCGATCGCGAATCCCGGGCCATCCTTCGCAACGCTCTTGCGGGGGGTTCGGGGCGGAGACTCGCCTGTCTGAGGCGGGGCGCGCCGCCTGCTCGTTGTGCCCCAGGTGCGGGCTACAGCCTGAGACGCCCGCGCACCGCTTCTGGCAGTGCACGGCCCCCCATGCCCTGGGCGATGCTGCCGTCCAGGCCGCGGAGTCCCTGGCCCCGATTGCGATCGCGGAGAACTCCTCGCCCCCCTCCCTGCGGCGTCGAAGGCTGATGTCCCTTGGCCAGGTCGCGAACGGTCTGCCCGCTCCTCTCTCGTCGGCCTGGGCCTCTTGAGCTCTCCAACGGGGCCCTTCCTCTGACGGGGGGGGGGTCAGGGGGGTCGATGGATCCGGAGGTGGTGAGACTAAGGATTGGGGACTAAGAGTGCGCGGGTGGAGTGCTATTATGCTTCATGCCAACGAAGCTGAAGTGACAGGTGGTATTGTTGGTACGTTACCGCCGCCCTGTCAGAGCTCCCCCCACGTCTTGATCGTGTTCGCCTTTCTGATGGTGCTCACAGTCGCGGAAGGAAATATTCTGGCGCGCTGCGACTATCCCCCCCCCGCGCGGAGCTTTCGGAAAGCACCCGGGCATGTTGTGAGGAGTAAGAATAGCATGATGGACCAGTGGGCTCGCGTGCGGGATCGCCTCGGAGAACGTTCGGGCCAGGTTGACCTCCGCCGGGCGGAATCCCACCCCTCCCAGGCACAAGTCGATGATATCCAGATCTCGAGAGTGGAGCTCATTTGGAACAGCGCAGATGGCCTGCGCGCTGGCGAAGGCGCCCGCAGGGGCCAGTTGGGAACTCAGGGAACCAATGCTGTCCGTGATGCGGACGCTCTCCAGGAGAAGATTATGTTGCGCCCCCTTGCCATTCAGCGCGAAGTGTCCCCCACCTGCTCCCGCGAGGCCCCCTTCCCCCAGAGGTCTCTCGGCCGCCCGTGAGAGGTCGGGCATCGCCAGTGTTGAGGCGAGGGGGGGGGCGGCCGCTGGCAGCTGCTCATGACGCCACTCGTTCAAAACTATGTTCACATGTTATCGGCGTGCCCGCTCCTTCTCTCAGAAAAGGTCCTTGTCTCAGTTTTGGCCGAAGGTTTGTGTCCCGCTGTCAGAGTTCGGCCGGGCCCCAGGGGAGTGGATTCCTCGGGCGGGGAGGGGCGCGCGCGACGAGCCGCCCGTGCTGTCCGTGGCGACGCCCATGCGCGGCGCCCTCCCTCCGACCGCCCTCTCTTTCCTGCTGCCCACGAGTCTCGCGCCTGGGCGACCTGCCAGGGCGCGCTGCATTGCCGCGTCTGCGGGTCTTTCGGCGTTGATCAGGCCCGCAAGCTTTCCGCGGGCTGCGTTCCGCCCACTGGTAAAGGGAGAGAGGCGTTGTCTCGATTTTCTCGCGGGCACCCTCCCAAGTCAGGCATGACTTGCCCCGTGCGGGGGTCAATGTTTCGCGCCCCCAAGCTTGCTCCTGGTCGACGCGCTCAGCGCAATCGCAATCGCAATCTCCCCCTCTCCCACCTCCGCCCCCCCCCCCGCCCCCCCCCTCCTCGCCAGTTTTATACCTCCTTCAAGTCCCGCCATCGCTCTCGCGCCCCTCTCTTTAATAGGAGGTCTCTCTCTCTCTCTGTCTCGCTCTCTCTTCTCTCTTCTCTCTCTCTCTCTATATATATATATATGTATATCATCTCTCTCTCTCTCTCTCGCTCTCTCTCCTTCTCTTTGTTTGGTTGTTTTCTCTCTCTCTCTCTCTCTCTCCTTCTCTCTCTCCCTCTCCCCTCTCGCCCCCCTGCCTGGGGCCGAGCCCCTCGGGGCGGAGCGCGGACGTGCGCGCGCAGCTCTCGAAGGCCCCCCTGCATCTGCGCGGGCAGAGCTGGGCGCGCCCCAACCCAGCGCGTCGCTACCCTGCGCCGCCGCCCCTCCGCGTCGCGCCGCCATGTCGCGCGCCGCCGCGCCGCGTTCGCTCCGCGCGGCGACAACCGCGCGGCCCGCTGCACGAGCGCGCCCCGACGTGCCCGACTCAGGAGGGGGCGGCAGCCACCGCGCGCCGCGCCTCGCGCCTCCTGCTCGGAGCCGCCAACTAATCCATCGCGGGAGCAATACTATTCGAGATCCCGCTGCTGACGACGACGAGTTTCTTCCTGGCCCACCTGCGCGCGACCCTGTCGATCGCCCAGTTCATCTGCGGCGCGACTATTCTCCAGCGCATGAGCTTCGCGCGCCCAGCGCTGACCTTCGCGGCGCCCGCGATGACCTTAGCGCTTTTCATGGCGAACTCCTGCGCCCCCGCCCCCGCTGGCCAGGGCGCCCCTCGTCCTCTGCGCGGCGCTGTCCATGGGGACCTTCAGGATTACCGCAGTCATAGGCGGTCTTCCCCCGGGGCCGCAGGCGACCCGAGGAGGGGGCGGCGCGAGGGGGGTGGGGGGTGGGGGAGGGAGAGGGGGGGGACAAGCTAGGTGCGCTCGCGTCATATCTGACGTCCTACCCCTCCCTCCTATCCCTTACCATGGCGCTGATTTTCTCTATCCGCGGACGCGTGTCGTAGCGGACCTGTGGCTCCGCGCGCGCGTGCGTAGTGGGTGGTGGTGCGCGTGCGTGCGTGCGTGCGTGCGTGCGTGGTTGTGGTGGTTGTGGTGGTGGTGGTGGTGGTGGTGGTGGTGCTGGTGGTGGTTGTGGTGATGGTGGTGGTGGTGGTGGTGGTGGCGGTGATGGTGGTGGTGGTGGTGCGGCGCGGTGGTAGCCGGCGGATGGGCGCGCGAGAAAGAGGCCCGCGCTGGGGCGAGAACGCCATCCTGAACGACGGAGGCCAAACACCGATCCGAAAATGAGGCCCACGCTGCAGCGGGAACACGATTCGGAACGACCCGGGGGCAGAAATGAGGCCAGCGCCTCAGCGAGAGCAGCATTTAAGAACAAAACGCAAGCGAAAACCCAAGTCCCGGGAATCCTGTGCGTAAAAAACAATACGCGGGGGGGGTCTACTACTCCCAGCACGCCATCAGGGAAAGAGGGAAAGTAGCATTCACATTGAATAACTGTGGAGGAAGAGGAGGAGGAGGAGGAGGAGGAGGAGGAGGAGGAGGGGGGGGGGCGAGGAGGAGGAGGAGGAGGAAGGAGGAGGAGGAGGCGGGGGAACGGAAGGAGGAGGAGGAGGAGAAGAGGAGGAGAGGAGGACGGATCGCCCATGCCCTTCGGAGAAGCCCCCCAGGTGGTTCCCCCCATGGAACCCCGCGCGACCTTCGCGCCGCCTTCCATTCCGAAGCTCCACCATCTACCGAAGCGCCGAGGCCGCGAACGCAGCCAGACTCCACGTGCCAGACCACCACGGCCCTGCCAACAGGCCTCGGCCGACCACCACTGGAGCTCATCATGGCCACCAGGCCAAAATCGGGGGCGCGCAGACATGGATGAACGATCCATGGACATGGCGCGCGGTCGCCAAATCCCTGGATCGGGGGGGCGCGCCCTTCCCAGAATGCCGCCGGTGCCGCCTCGCTCGGCGGCGGAAATCCGCGATTCCCAATCGGGGCGGGGCCCGTCCCTAGCCCGTGCCCCCTTGATCCACGATTGCGATCGCCTGACAAAAGTGCGCCCGGCCGCTGAGAGCCCGCGCCCCCCTCGACAGTCCGCCAGCTGCCACTGGCCCTGGCCAGGGGGGCCACCAGGTTTACGCTGCAGCCAAACCACCTGCCGCGGTGGGCGACGACCCCCCAGCCGGGCGCGCAACGACCGCCAACGGAACCGCCGAGCGTCGCCGCCACGCCAACAATCCACACACTCTCCGCGATAATGCCCGCCCATGTGAAAGTCCTCAGCGCCCCTTCCACGCGAGCGCCCGCCGACTCACAGGGGCAACAGCCACGTGGGCCACCAGGCCCGCGCTGCACCCAAGCCATCCGTCGCGGTTCATTGCGACCCTCCCGCCGAATGTCCGACGACCCCACTGGAACTCCTGAGTGTTGCCGCCAGGCCAACGCTCCAGCAAATCTCCGCGCTGTCTCCCATGACAACCCGACGCCTGGCGGAACGACCTCCGACGACCTCCTGTCGACAGCCCGTCCTCTGACGACGACGATCGACGACCGTCATTCCGACCGTCCGCGGACTCTCGGGGGAACCGGCCACGTGGGCCACCGGGCCCACGCTGCAGCCAATCCGTCCACCGTCGTTCACTGCGACACTCCCGCCGATTGTCCGAAGACCCTCGCGGAAACCGCCGTCACTCCCACTAGCCTCCATGACGACCCTCAGGAACATCAGCTACGGAGGCAACCAGGCCCACGTTGCACCACCAGCCATGGGGGCAACTAGGCCGCGAACGTCCCTTCCAAACGCTTGACCGCCGATCGGCTGAATGCCATGAGACCATGCGACGTTCGACGACAGTCCGAGGACCGTCAGGCGACAGGCCCGACGACACCGACCCGAATGACGCCCACACGCTGGCCGTCCGCAAGCCGTCCGCTACCCAGCGACGACCGCCCGGCGACCGCCGACGACCGTCCGCCGAGCGCCAGAACGACCACCGATGACCGACTGTCAACTGTCTGGCCTCCGACGACGACGATCGACGACCGTTTGCTACCCGCGCGCAAATGCTCGCCCCCACGCGGCACAAAACGCCACGACGCACCACGACCAGACCAGAGCCAGGCAAATCGCAGCCACAACAGGTAGCTTTCGGCATTCCGGTTTCGCTCTGCAACTGCCGCGCAGCCTCCGGACCCCCTCGGAGCCGCAAGCCGACCGATAGCCTACCCGCAGACTCCTGGAGCACCAACTCAGAGCCACTGCCGAACATCCCTGAGAGGACATCCGACAAGCGGCGCCACCGCGGCCTCCCTCCCAGAAGTGGGCCACGCCCACATCCGCACGGTGATCCTTGCGCCAGCAAACAGGGAGCCGCCGCGAGCTTCGCCCCCGCGGTTTGCGCCGCGCCGCGCCGCGGGTCACGCAGAGGCACCCGCGGCAGCCACCAGGCTCTCTGCTCGCGCGGGCCGCGCGCCGCACGCGCACCACAGCCAGCGCATCTGCCGAAGGGGCTGCCGCGCTGGCCGCAAACGCTGGCCGCGCCCCCCCCCGGGCCTCCATGGAACTGAGGTCGCGGTTGCCAGCCAAGACCCAAACCCCGTCGACGGCCGAGCGGGGAAGCGCAGTCAATGCTGGGCAGCCCAGCTGACAAATGGCACCGCCGCCCACCTGCGCACGCCCAGCTCGATAGCTGCCCCCTCTGGCGGGGATGAACCCTCCAACGCCGCGCCGCCGACCCGCGGACCAACGTCCGACGACCGACTGCGCCGCTCCGCCGCCCGCCCGACGACGGTCGGTCGACAGCGCGCCAACGCCTGCCGCCGCCGGCCGCCGAACGAACGTCAACCGACCGACGCGCAACTGGCGGCGACGATAGGGCCGAATAGCTCAGGGACGGGCATGGCGCGCATTCGCCCGGGAGCCTTTTCGAAGACATAGACCATCGGCGCAAATGAATACATGCATTGCCCCCCCTGGGCCATTCGCCCCCATCGTCTCCTCTGACGCAAGCCCGGCGACCAGGCGGCGACGTGCCGACGCCACCCCGCTGTAGTTCCTAACGGCCGACCGCCGATGTGGCCGACGTGCGTCCTCCAGCAGGGCCACTGGGCATGCTCGACAGCCAGGCCACGAGCCGTCGCGCACGCCATCCCCCGCGCCCACTAGAAGTCCCACGTCGGGCGCGTCCTCTACAAGGGAGATTTTGGGCGAAAAATGCAACGCACACCGACAACAACCCTTAAACATATTGTAAATGCGCCCCCAGGCTATTCTTTGATTATTTTTGAATACCTCATGTAGAGGGACCCGGCTTAACCTAGTCTCGCGAAGGGTTGGCGCTCCTCCTACTCCTGCTCCTGGGCGCGCCGCTTGGGCCTCTCCGACGCGGGCTCGCCTGGCGGCCCGCCGCTGCCCGAGGGCAGGGCCACTCTCCTCCGCGCGCTGACCCCCCTTCGGGGCCGCGCCGCAGCGGCGGCGACGAGGCTCGCAACCAGCCGCGGCAGGCGTCGCCCCCCCCCCCCAAAAAAAAAAAAAAAAACACTCCTCAAAGTGGCGCGCCACCAAGCGCAACCGCTCGGAGCAGGACGGGCCACTGGCTTCCGTCTGGGACGCGAAGGTCTTTCGACTTCAACTGAGTGGCCTCCCGTCATGCGCGCGAGAGATGACCCGGGCGCCCGCATTTGCGGGCGCCTCCCTTTCTGGCACTTGCATGCATCTGCTGACCCCCTCAGGTCCCCAGGTGTCCTCTTGCTCCCAACGCGCGACAACCTCGCCTGATACATGCCCAGTATTTGGACGCCCGAAATGGGCACTGAAAGAATGGACACTGTGCCCGACAACAAATGTTGTCCCAAGCCAATCGCGGCCGCTGTTGGGCAGGCGACCTTCTGTCTCGAATGGACACAGGCTGCGGCGGCGCGGACAGCGAATCCTGTTCAAAATGAACAGGAACTGTTGTTGGGCATTTTATCCGTTCTTTCGGTGCCCATTTCGGGCGCCCAGACGGTGGGGCTCAGAACACTGGAGCTCGTGGGATGAGCGGGCGGCCCCGCCCCGTTCCAAGCTCAAGATGGGCGCGATGAGGAGGGGGGGGGGGGGGGGGGGGGGGGGGGGGAGGGGGGGGGGGGGGGGGGAGGAGGGAGGGGGGGGGGGGGGGAAGGAGGGGAGGGGGGGGGGGGGGAGAGGAGGGGGAGGAGGAGGAAACGGAGTACGGAGGCCACCAAGCCGCCCCGCCAGCGAAAACGACTCTGCTGCGCGTCGAGCCAAAACCCGCTCACGGCCCCCAACGGCCGCCGCTCCACCAGGCCGTCGCGCCACCCCACTCCGGGCGCTCGCCGCCTACCTGATCCACCCCTCGTCGGTTACCGACCTCCGACCCGGGGGCTGCGGAAAGACAGCCCCCACGCTGGGCATAATCGAATCGACGAGCCAGGTCGGCAATCGAAACGAATCGGGTCGGCGGAGATCTGCAGCCGAGCTGGGGAAAGTCGAATCGGCGGAAATCGGCAGGCTTGCATGCGCCCCAAAAGAAGTCGGAGCCCAAATCGGAATCCGAAATCGAATCGATGCGGAATCGGAATCCATCGAAATCGAATCCAATCGAATCGGATGAATCGAAACGAGCCCTGACTGGGCCAACTCGCCGACAGCGGACCAACGCCTCAAGAAGCTTCGCGCGCGAGCGCTGCGCCCCCTGCCGCGCCCCCTGCCACGGGGGCCCCGCGGCGGACTCTGGCGCGCGGCTTCTACGACGCGCCACCCTCGGCGCCAACCATGGCGCCGCAGGCGCGATGGTCGCGCGCGCCTTCTTCCGCGCAGCATGGGAGCGGGCGACACCTACCCCCGACGCCTGTCTTGGCTTGGCGCCCTCAACCACTGTCGACGCCCGACGCGCCATGGCGACGACGTCTTCGCCCGACCCGCGCACGCTGCGCGAAGGCCCGGCAACGGGCTCAGCGGCGCAGGCGCTGGGCCGCCGAGGAGGGCACCCCGTGGCTGCGGAACCTTGCCCCCGCAAGGTTCCGCGGCGCACGCCAGGGTCGGGGTCGCGCAAGCGTGGGTGAACGATCCATGGACTTGGCGCGCGGTCGCCAAACCCATGGATCGGGGGAGGCGCCCTCCCCAAAACGCTGTCGATGCCGCCTCGATGGTCGGCGGACATCTGCGATTTTCCACGCTGGCGGGGCCCGTCGCGAATCCGCGCCCCATGAAACCAAGTTTCGCCCGCGTCGCCGCGGCCCGCCTCCGCCCCCCGGGCGGGGGCTCTTCGACCGCGCCAAGGGGGAAGCTGATGCTTCTCCCTTTCGCAATCCGCATGGGCCCTAGCCCGCGCGCGTTCGCGCCGTTGTCTAACTGAGCCAGGTCAGGCCTGCCTCTAGTGCAAGCGTCTCGGCCTAAAGCGCGGGCGCGATGCCCCTCGGAAGAACACCTGCACGATGCATCGCGTTGTAGCTGAAGCGGCCGTCCGCGTGCTGCCCTGCTCCCACGACGGCAACGCCGACGGCGCCCGCCCCGTCTGAACGGAAACCGCCATCTGTGCGCAGTCGGGCGCTTCTTTCGCCGATCGGCGTTGGTAGGGCGTCGCGCCCCTCTGACCATGTTCCCCCCTCGTCCATGGATGCGTCGGCGCTGCGGTCAGCCAATGAATGGCACTCGCGCGGCGACCAAATCATGCAGTCCAAGGCGTCGTGGAGTGGTCGGCCCCCGCGCAAATTCAATCTGACGATCAGGCGATCGGTCCGTTTGAACGCAGTGACGCGTCGACCAGGATGCATCGCTGCACGCCCTGCCAGCGCCCCCACCCAGGCTTTGCAATCAACGTGGATCCACAATCCCTCGCGGGAGGTCTGCCGAGAGTTGCCCGAAGGGTGCGGCAGCGCCCGCGGCGGGCGACCCGCTGCCGCCGTTTCCCTCGGCACGCCCATGTTGTCTCGAAGGGGGCCCAAGTGCTTCGGGAAGACAACCCTCGTCTCGAGTCTGCGGGAGCTGCCGGGCCGAACGCAGCGTGGCGGCGAACCGGCCACCACCTTCCATTCACGCCGCCTGCGCTGAATGAGAATCCCGGCGCGCCCTCCAATCAGGGCCGAATGCTTGAGCGGGGGGGGGGCCCGAGCTTCTGATGACCACCGCGCGCGCGCGGGTGGCCTTCCTGCCGCCTATCGGCGCGCGACCCAATAGCGCATATAGATGCCCACCAGGACTGCGAGCGGTGTTCTCGCGCGGCTGCCCGCGGCTTGGGCGCGAGCTTGCGCGGATCAAGCGGTTCCTGCCATGCCGATTTGCATAGTGCTTGGCGAATTCTGCGACGGACCGTGCCGGTGCTGGCCGAGCATAACACTGCGTGAATATGTCGGCCGTGCGCATGTTGAACGCCATGAAGGAGTCCTCTGGCAGTCGCCAGCACCTATACATAATTCAAAGTTTGCCGAGCTCCCATCTTCGGGTAGATCGCAGAAGACCAACCGATGCATTCCACGATTGTGCGCTGCATGCGGCCGACGTCGCTGGGGAGGCGCCCCAAGCCCGCAAACGCGGCACCACCGGCCCCCTCGCGCCTTCAAGGCGGGCGCGCCGGCAATATAGACCGTCTGCTCTTTTGCCGCCCTGCGAAGAGAACCGACGTTTGATTCCCACTGGTGTCACGAAATTCGCCGAGCAGTTCAAGCCCCCCCACTTGTTCGCGCCCGGCGCTGCGCCCCGCCTGCTGGATAACCAAAGGCAACGCGAAGCGTCGACCAGCCTCGGGCCCTGCCGTCAGCACCTCTGCAAGGAGGATGGTTTCCAACGCAATCTCCCCGATTCAACTCCCCCTGCGAACACTGTCAAAATCGCGCCCTTGCAAAAACGAGCAAGTTGTCTGCCCGGACCGCGTGGGAGATGGCGGACTTGTTCGCGCCGCCTTCCAAAATGGAGCCTAAATTCTTCTCCCGCCGAGCAGTCGCGAGCGGCACAAGGAGATCATCAAGAAAACAAGTCCACTCATCAGGTGTCTCTGCCCCTCCTCTTTTACCACCCTTGGAGTAATCGAACGACTCGGTAGCGCCCGCCCCCGGGAGGGCCATCACCGCCTTCAGCCCCGAGATTTCCCGCGGCAGATTCCCGGCCGCGCGTCGGGGCACGCCTCTGGCATCAAGTGCCCGACCGAAGATCGGGCGCAGCATGGAATCGAAGGCGGTTTCGACGCCCTGGCAAGTCGCGCGCAGGATGCCCCCCAAGTGTCGGCAAGAAGCTCCAGCTGCCGAGTCAGACCCACCACCGAACTGCCGCGGGAATTGCGCCTGAACCCGCACGAACGTAATCGAGACGGCCGAACTTGGTCACGCAGTCCTGGTCGAAGAGAGAGCGCGCGCCATTGCTGTGGGACTTGCGTCGCGCATGTCCATCGCAAATATATGAAGTTAGTTGCGTCGCGGATTTTGTCTCGAGCGCGAAAGATACCCGCACCCTTACCTATAGACAGGGTGGCAAGGGACCGGGGGGGCGGCTCGTCGCCGCTGACGGCGGCTGCACAAGTGTAGAAACGACAGCCGATCGAGCATTGCAGACCGCTGTCTTCTCGGGGCGCGCGTTAGCACCGATCGCACGTGCGTTCGAATCGGCGGAGTGCCCGACCCTGCATCGGTTGTTGTCGATGTAGACCAGCTACTGCGGAGGCGCGCCCCCAGACACACATCTGGGCGTTGAGAAGTCATCGCGCACTCGGGGGCGCATGCGAACAACTCTGGCGCGAACGCCATTGCGCGACAACCGCCCTATCGCGAATTGCTCGATGCAGAGACATCGCGAATCTGTGCCCTGGGCGAGGTCGCCAGAGGCCGCCCCCCATGGACGGCCGTCTGCGGATCACCCCAGCTAGGTACGGTTGCCCCATGAAAACCCCAAAACATACCCGTACCTAGCCGGGGTGCCGTAGCTCACCCCAGCTAGGTCTGGGTATGTTTCGGTGGTTTCAGGCAGGTCCCCGTGCCTAGCCGAGGTGGCGGCAGGCCCAAAACGCTCTCGAGCACATATCATGCCCTCCAGAGCCGTCCCCGACGTGGCCGCTGCGGCCCCCTGGGGGCGCGACATTGCAATGTCGTTCCCCAGGGCAGGCCCAGACGCATTGGTTGCCAGGATAGCGAGGAAATGCAACTCTTTATCGATTGGGACAGGCGCCGCCACACATGGGCGGCTTTGAACCGCGCAAGCACCACGATGCCCCGATACGTCCCTAACAAAAACCAGCGCTTGTCGCTGCAATCAGAAACCCAACCATCGAGCGCGCCGTTGCGTCTTGACGCGCGGATGCTGCACTGGCGCGCGCGGGGCAAGCTGACCGGGCACAATGGCAAGCGCCCAGTCCCCCGGACGGCCCATCTCACCTTGGCCGGCCCCGGGCACGGGCATCTGTCGGACCGATGATTTTTGGGGGCCCCGAGGAATTCCAACATCTTCTGAAAGGGTGAGCTTTCCAAGCCGCCCTCGAAACAACTGCGGGTGCGCAAAAATTCGCAGGTGCGGATGGCCGTGCGCATGGGCATGCGTTAGTGCACCTCCGGAGGGGCACCGTCAGGTCCAGCGCCTCGACGGAGACGCGCGCAAGCTTGCAGGAAATCCCAAAACTCCAGGCCGTGTCTGCCTTAGCCGTCCTAGGCGTCTGCGACGACAGGCGAACGTAAGCGTTCCAATCGACATCGTCGTTGCTCAGCCATGTTACCCGTGTCGGTACAGCAGACGACTGTGAATTTCCTGAGTGTTGCTAGCCATTGTTCGCGATCGTGCTCCTTATGGCCGCGAATTTCAATGCAAACAGGTCCATGTGTGCCCCCAGCGCCACGTTTTGCCACTGACGCCAACGTCATCTGCGCGCGCTCTTGAGCTGCTTGTCGCTGTCGTTTCCGACGCACACGGGGCGCGCCCCGCCGCGGTCAACGCGCATGTGAACACCCGGCTGAAATGTCGCAGCGCGCCCCGGCCATCGGGCGGGCGTCCTGGCGCGGGGGGGGGCGTCGAGCGCCAGTGCCCGTAGTCTCCCTTCGATGGTACTGGGCGTCTATGCCATGATCTCGTCATCCAGCGCCCTCTCCGCGAACATCTGTAAAGCCTCGTTCCCGTCTGGCTGCCAATTCTTCAATGATCGCAGGCGGTGCAGTGCGATGTAGCTGACGAGAGAACGATGGTCGAGTTTTTGCCTTAGGGCCGGAACGTCGACGAGGTCTGGCTCTTTGACGGGATGGCTGGAGTCATGGGGGTCGGAGGTGACCGCGACGAAATCGATTTGGGACCTGTCTGCGCGTCGCCCCTTCCGACCGCATGTCCACAGAGATTATGGGGAGGCGTTCTCCTGGAAAGAATTCTGGGCCCGCTGGACGAGCGGTTTCAACCATGACAGCGCATGATGTTGCATTTCCAACGCGCGGCTGCGCAGCGGCGGAAGCACAGAAGCGCTGGTCTCAGGGCCCCGTAAACCCGGACACGCTAGACCCAGACACCCAACATCCCTCGAAACCAATTTTTCCAAACGGCGGCACGATCAAAATATTGCACTTCAACATTTCCAAAATAAACCCGGACACGCGCCCCAAAAGCTTGCGAACCCTCCCTAAACCCGGACACAAACCCGAATCCTGCAATGCAACAAACAAGACATGCACGGGTGCTGAAAAACGTGACTTTGCAGGGAAAGATGTAGTTTCCTTGGTTTTCCGTGTCCTGGTTGATCTGTGCCCTGGTCTCCGGGGGACTGATGGTCACGTTGTGATATGACGCCGGTAAGGTAACGTTGGCGTGAAAACCTGCGATCACCGACAGGGGTCGAGAAGGGAATCGCTGTCCACGTGCGTGGAAGAACTCGTGAGTCTCTTGCCGAATTGCATCAACATGAGCCCCCCCGTACCGTCCTCAAGGCAATCCTATATAAAACGCACGCTGAAAATACAAATTCCTAATCACAGCAGTCCGCTCCCGCACGGGCGGTGGATCTCGTCGCGAACCACAAAGAATTCAGGGCGTCAGGAACAAGAAAACCACAACCGACCTCATCCAAGCGTTCCGCGAGGTCCCTCCGCGACCGGCTGGGGTGCACTACGAACTGGCCGAACTTCGATCCAGAAACCCATTTAGAAATCTGACAAACGGACCACCGCTGAACCCCAATCGTTTAAAACTCCTTGCGGGTTTGCTTGCCGTTGCATGGATTCTTATAGCTGGTATTGAAAGATAACCACGATATCCTCTTTGTGACAGGTGAATCGGCCTCGAGGCCTCGTCATTGCTGTCTCTGCTGGCGCTTCCTAACCTTGCCACCTTGGAGCACGTGTCCAACGATAGTCTGGGTCTTGTTGCCGTTCTCCTCGATCTCGAGGCTCACCTCGAACTCGGGGCCCCATAAAACCTTCACCTGCGCAGACGCGTCCGCGGATTCCTCCACGAAGTCATTGAGTTTGCCTTTGGACGCGTACTGTTTCTGAACGGATGGGTGTCGCTCCTCCGTGGCCCACAACTCCCTGCCGTTGAAATTGATACCATGATCTCGGAGAGCCTCTCGGAAATAGTTCAAGACCTCCGTCAGGTGCCCGGGGTCAACTAGGATTTGCATCTTATGGTTTATGGGGTGGGTGAGGCGGAACTGCTTCACGTGACCCTGCAACGCATATGGGAGGACACCAAGCAATTTGTCGCACACTGTGGAAACGTCGACCCTCCCGATCCCCTTGGCCCGGGCCCCCTCGAAGTCGCAAAAAATATGGATCTCGATGTAGTTCGGGAGGAACGTCGTCGAGACCCCCCCCGCTCTTTATGAGAAATTCCTAGCGTACCTCCATGTTCTCCTGCTTTTCTGTGAGATCCTTTTTGATAGGCTGAAACTTCTTACGGTGGGCCTCGATGATTTCTTGCTGCATGCTGGTCGCCCAGTCAGGCGCCACGGTCTGGTTTCCTATCTCTACACGGAATGTGCGAATCAGCTGCAAAGCGAAATTGTTCAGGGCCCTCTTGGAAGCGTCTGCGGGCCTGTACCTGGAGGCCTCTAGGAGCCTCGAGCCTGCTTCTATGTTGAGCCAAAATGGCGGGCGTGTCCCCCTACTGGAGGACTGATCAAAAATAGTCAAAAGATAATGCTGGGGCGACTTCTCGAATACTTTTTGACTGTGTTTGAATGCTTGTATGGGTGTGTTTTATTTTTCTTCCAAAATCCGCCTGTAGAGGGGCAGGCCCGACTTAACGCTGCCCCTGCCATTCACATGCGCGTTTCCCGCCAGAGCGGGGACGGCCCAGCCAGCGCTTGTCACAGGCGGACCAAGACAAAAACACATGTCCGCCTCGATGCGCTCTCTCTCGCTCTCTCTCTCTCTCTCTCTCATTGTCTCTCTCGTCTCTCTCCCGCTCTCCCAGTGTCTCTCTCTTTTGTTGAATTATTCCTCTCTCTGTCTCTGTCTGTCTCTCTCTCTCTCTCTCTTCCTCTCTCTGCCTCTCTCCCCATAGTTTCCCCCTTTCCCGCCTGCCCCCCATCTCTCTCTCTCTTTTTTTTTCTCTCTCTCTCTCTCTCTCTCTCTCTATATATGGATCCGCTTTTTGTATCCTCTCTCTCTCTCGCTCTCTGTCTCTCTCTCCCTCTCTCCCTCTCTGTGTCCTTAACCTCCCTCTCCTCCGCATCCTCCTTCGTCTTGCTACTCTTCCTTCCTGTCCTGTCCGTTCTGACCAGGATGTCGAAACGAATCCAGCGGTGGCGACGAGGGCCTTCCGGGAGGCTCGAACAAGAAAAAAACGAAGGAAGATTAGCGGCACGGGTACTTCTTCCTCCTCTGAAGGACCCTTTCTCTTCATGGAGAGTCTTCCTGCGCCGGAGCCTCATGTCCTCGTACGGGATGCCGGACGCCGTCACGAGGAAGCCGCCAGGGACGCGGCAGCTCACGTTGCCAGACGTGCCCTGGTTGATGCCCATCCTGCGGGGTCTGGAAGGCTCCTCCTCCCCTCCCGCCCTCCGAGCAAAATCACCTCGTGGGGCGACCGCGTCGTGAGCAGATGGACAGAAACCTAAGAACATGCCTCGACAGGGCTGCGGCTGCTTTCCCTCCTCGCTCCCCCTTTCCCTCCCCCTTCTTGATGGCTACATGGCAGCTCGGGTGCCACCCCAGAACACAGGAGGAGGAGGAGGAGGAGGAGGAGGAGGAGGAGAAGGGGGAGGGGGGAGGAGGAGGAGGAGGTGGAGAAGGAGGAGGAGGAGGAGGAGGAGGGGGGGGGAGGAGGGGGGAGGAGGAGGAGGCGGAGGAGGGGGAGATGGAGGAGGAGCCACTAAAACGTTGGCGTTGAGCGTTGGGAGACCCCGAGCCGCGAGGAGGGGCGACGGGCAGCGCGGCGCAGCGCGGCGCAGCGCGCAGGACCCGAGGAAGACAGGCACAAAGCGCCTACAGGGCCCCTCGGGCAGGACTTCGAGCTCCGACGCGCGGCGACGGGCCGCCAACTCGCGCACCGCACCTGACTTCCCGAGATGCCGGGCTTCGCGCTCGGAAGGGCCAAATAGGGCCCCTGCCCCTTCCTGCTCCTCCACCTCCTCCTCCTCCTCCTCCTCCTCCTCCTCTCCTCCTCCTCCCTCCCTCCTACCTCCTCCTCCTCCTCCTCCTCCTCCCTGCTGGTCCTCCTCCTCCTCCTCCTCTCCTTCCTCCTCCTCCTCTCCTCCTCTCCTCCTCCTCCTCCTCCTCAAGTTGTCCTCCTCTCGTCTCCATCATCCTCCTCCCTTTCCTACTCCTCCGCTCCTCCCCTCCTCCTCCTCCTTCCCCCTCCTCCCCTCCTGCCTCGATGCTGCGAACATGGATGCCCCCTCTCCCTCCCTCCCCCCTCCCCCGCTCGGTGCCAGAGGCGCGTGCACCCCGGCGGCTTCGGGGGCGAGGAGTACCCCGCCCTCCCTCGCCGTCGCTCCGTCGCCAGCTCTCCCCGCGCGTTTTTTTTCCAGTGGTCCCCGGAGGTCCCCGATGGTCCTCGTCGAGGACCGGAGAGTTCCAAAGAGAGAGGTTTCCAAAGAACCCCCTTTCTCCAGCTTCCTCCTTCTTCTCCTCCTCCTCCTCCGCCTCCTCCTCCTCCCTTGCGTGTTCCTCCTCCTCCTTCTCCTCCTCCTCCTCCTCGCGGTTCTGGAGGGTTTTTGTGGAAGGGGGTTTTCCAGAGAGCCCCCCAGGGGCCTCGGAGAGTCGTCAAGGTAGGGAGGGGGTGCGAAGCCCCCGGGGGACCCCACCTGGAAAACCCCCTCCCCCCAAACCCCCTTTGGAGCCCTCGGGGAGGAGAAGTGCACACGCCCGAGCGACGCCAAGGCTCTGGCGTTCTGGAGCCTGAGTCGGCACGATGGGGGAGCAAGGAGAGGGCGAGGATCGAGAGGAGGCCGTCGGCGCCAGAGCCTGAGGCTCCGTCGCCGATCCGGGGACTGCGTAGGAGAACGACGACGACGAGGGGGGGAAGAGCGAGGGGATGCCGAGAAAGATCAGGTGGAGGAGAGGATATGGTTCGGATCCGAAGAGGCCGAGGAGCGTGAGGGAGACGAGGAGGTGGATGGGGGGAGAACGGGCAAGGAGAGGATGGCATCGGCTGCAGCAAGCATCATGCTGCCACGGCGTGCGGTCAAACTCAGCCAACATCGCATCAAGAAATCGGATCGAATCGGAATGAACGGCGGATCGGACTGCACTGGCACGCAGCCGAAATCGAAGCGACGCGGCCGCGCAGGGATACACCACAGCGACGTGCGAACATCAGGCCGAGTTGGACCGTCGTTGTCCACAGGAGAACACGACATACACATAAACTGTTGGTGCCCCGCGTAGGCTTCTTGGATCTGCGCTGGACCCCCCTCACTGGCGCGCGGAGCGCGACGGGAGCGGCGCCGGAGGCGCTGCCAGGAGGGCCCCAGCGCAGATCCAAGACTTCCACGCAGAGCGCCAACAGGCTATGCTTATGCAATTGTTTCTTCGAGTTACAGTGGGGGCCCGACCACAAGAAACCTTCCACAAGAAACCCAAGCCTGAGACCCCAGGACGTCCATTGGTTTTTGGTGTGGGAACGCCCCGTTTTCCATGGCACAACCATCGAAACCCAAGAAACCCATGGCACCCTGGACGCAACCAGGGTGTTTCTTGGCATGGATCTCCACTGTATGTTCGGGGGGCGCAAATATGGATTAGCGATCCATGGATTTGACGCGCGGTCGCCAAATCCATGGATCGGAGGAAGTGCCCTCTCCAAAATGCGGCCGGTGCCGCCTCGTTCGGCGGCGGAAATCCGCGATTTCCCATGGAAACGGAACCCGTCGCTAATCTACGCCCCCTTAATCCATGTTTGCGATCGCCAGATATGTGGGAATCGAACCGGATCGAGCCAGCCCTGTGCAAGCCACCCGTCACTGCAGATTCTCGCAGAGGGGACGGTGCCAGCGAGGGTCACTGTGTCGCCAAGCTCCTAGGCTCGAAGGAGCCGCCGCTCCCACAGCGAGCGCGGGCCAGCGTGGCAGCGGCCTGCTTGCTGCAGCCGATGCCACCCCCTCCCTGCCCCTTCCCCCTCCACCCTTCCACCTCCCTCCTCCTCCCTCCCCCTCCTCCAACCTTCCCGATCCGATCAAAATCCTTCTCCCCTTCTCCTCCTCCTCCTCCTCGTCCTCGTCCTGCTCCTCCGCCTCCCACTCCTCATCCTCATCATCACCATCACCACCACCACCACCGCCACCACCACCACCACCACCACCAGCATCAGCATCAGCATCAGCATCAGCATCATCATCATCATCATCATCATCATCATCATCAGCAGCATCATCATCAGCACACATCATCATCATCATCATCATCATCATCATCATCATCATCATCATCATCATCATCATCATCATCATCATCATCATCAATCATCATCATTATCACCATCAGCATCATCATCACCATCATCCTCATCCGTATCACCATCACCATCACCATCATCGTTATCATCGTTATCATCATCATCACCATCATCATCATCATCATCATCAGCATCATCATCATCATCATCATCGTAATACTAATCCTCATCACCACCATCATCATCATCATCATCATCATCATCATCATCATCATCATCATCATCATCTTCACCACCACCACCAAGAGCATCATCATCTTAAGCATCAACATCATCACCAGCACAGTCATCATCAGCATTAGCATCACCATCATCATCATGGCCATGATCATCAACATAATCAGCATCAACATCACCATCATCAACGTAATCAATATGATCATCAGCATCAGCATCATCATCATCATCATCATCAGCAGCATCATCATCAGCACACATCATCATCATCATCATCATCACCACCATCATCATCATCATCATCATCATCATCATCATCAATCATCATCATTATCACCATCAGCATCATCATCACCATCATCCTCATCCGTATCACCATCACCATCACCATCATCGTTATCATCGTTATCATCATCACCATCATCATCATCATCATCATCATCATCATCATCATCATCATCGTAATACTAATCCTCATCACCACCATCATCATCATCATCATCATCATCATCATCATCTTCACCACCACCACCAAGAGCATCATCATCTTAAGCATCAACATCATCACCAGCACAGTCATCATCAGCATTAGCATCACCATCATCATCATGGCCATGATCATCAACATAATCAGCATCAACATGACCATCATCAACGTAATCAATATGATCATCAACAACAGCATCACCACCATCATCATCATCATCATACTTCCAGTCCTCGTTCCTCCTCCTCGACGTTGTATGATTTGTCCTCTACTCTTTTTCTCTCCTCTTTACTTTGCTTTTGTTCCCCCCCTCTCTCTCTTTCTCTTCACCCCCCCCCCCCCACCACTTCCTCGAATCTCGTATCCCTGGGGTCCTGTTCATCTGAAGGCAAGTTTCGATCACCTGCTGCCGAAGCTCTATGTGCTCCACGGCGCCGGGGGCGCCGCCGTCCGCGTCGCGGCGCCGCGGAGTATCGATAGCATGCCTCCTCTCGAAGTCGCTCAACAGCGCGACCGCGTCGGGCTGCTTCCCGTAGCTCTTGAACTTGGCGAGGATCACGTCCATCTCCTGGTCAACCTCCTCCTCCGCATTCACCTCCTCCTCCTCCGCCTCCCTCTGCCTCCCTCCCTCCTCCTCGTCTTCCTCCGTGCTAGCCTCCTCATCGTCAATCATATTATTAACCTCGTCCCACTCATCCTTCCTCCTCCTCCCTCCTCCTCCTTCATCTCTTTTCCATATACTTAACTCCTCCCTGTCGCGCCCCGAGGCCGGTCGAAAAGGGCGGGCTGGACGTTTCGCCTGAGACTCTCTCACCATTCATGACACTGACGCTTACATGTCGACAACCATTTCACGAATTGAAGGCGGGTCGCTTCCAACATGTGGCTCTCGCCTTAGCGCCGCGAACCGTTTTTGACATTTGCAAAAAGTTTGACAGACTGAGGGCGGGTAGTTTTCAAAATGTGGCTCCAACCTTCGCACCGAACACACTCGTTCTAACAGGTAGCAGAAGCTTCACGGATCGAGTGCGGTTCCTTTTCAGACTGTGGCTCTCGCCGTAGCGCCACGCGCATTCGCTTTTTATCATTGCAAAGAGTTTGGCGGATTGAGGGTGGGTTGGTTTTCAAACTGTGGCTCTTGCCTTAGCGCCGCGCACACTCGTTTTAGAAAGTTGCACGGATAGAGGGCGGTTCCTTTTGAAGATGTGGCTCTCGCCTTTGCGCCGCAAACACTCGTGTTGAACAAATGCAAAAACCTTCACGAATGGAGGGCGGTTCCTTTTCAACATGTGGCTCTCGCCGTAGCGCCGCGCGCACTCGTCTGAAGCATTTGCAAGAGTTTCACGGGTTCTCATGGCCAACGTGCCAGAAATTCTGTTTTGGGCGGGCTCAGGATTGTGAGGTCGCGACTGTTACGTTGATTCGCGGTGTTGAAAACCTAAGCATGGCGCTCTAACACGGTTCCAGATCGCCAAGACGCAACACTCAGTTTCATGTGGCGCTCGAGTCCAAAAATGGTGCTTTGGCCTTCCTCGGGGTCTTCACACAGTTTTCTCCCGACGACGCAATTCCCTCAGTGGAGGTGAATCCTTGCAGGGCCATTCAAGGGTAATCTTGGAGGAAGGGCTTATTCCAACATCGCTGATGCGTCTTGGGTTTGCAAAGGTCATCCTCCTCCTCCTCGGCCTCCTCCTCCTCCTCATCCTCCTCGTCCTCGTCGTCGTCCTCGTCCTCCTCCTCCTCTTCCTCCTCCTCCTCCTCCTCTTCCTCCTCCTCCTCCTCCCCCTTCCCTCCCCCCCCACCTCCTCCTCCTCCTCCCCCTCCTCCACTCCCCCTCCCCCTCCCCTCCCCTCACCCTCACCCTCCTCCTCCCTTTCCCACTCCCCCTCCGCCTCCCCCATTACCTCCCCTAAGCCCTCCCCTCCACCTCACCTCGTCCTGCTCGTCCTTCTCCTCCTCCTCCTCCTCCTCCTCCTCCTCCCACTCGCATCCTCCTCATTCTCCTCCTCCTCCTCCTCCTCCTCTTCCCCCGCCTCCTCCTCCTCCTCCTCCTGTTCCTCTTCCTCCTCCTCCTCCCCCTCCTCCTCCATGTCTTCTCTCTCTCTCTCTCTTTCTATTTCTCTCCTGTGTCGCCTGGTCTTCTAGGTCCCCGCAACGTTGGAAACACCTTCGACGGATCAAGCCTGATCAACATCACCTCTAATCGGCTTGTAATCACGGGTCCTGAACAACACTGGTACGATCGTCTCGATCACGGGTTGGCTGCTGTTGAGTGCGTTGCCTCTGTTGGGACGGGCATCGATGGCGTCGGCAGTCGAGAAGGACTCGAGAAACCATGTTCGCTGTCTTGCTACGGCTCAAGTATTGTCTTACTGGAGGCTGACGCCGAGTTCGGTGGAGCTCAAACTTATCAAGGTCCTGGGCAAACGGAGAACGATGACCATTAGCCTGGCGAAAGGCCCAAACATGTGCAGCTGTGAGAAACGTCGTTGTATGCACCACATTCGGACCAGCTCCCAGTGGTGCCACAAAATGTGTGAGGGGTGTGCCGAAATGGATGCGGTGGGCATCGTGCGAAAGCAGCCTGTGGGGCCGTCGGTGGAGCTCCTTATGGGGCCACTTCACGTGTGAGGGGTGTGCCAAAATGGGTGCGGGGGGTCTCATGCGAACGCAGCCGCTGGGGCCGACGGCGGAGCTCCTCATGGGGCCACGACCCGTGTGAGGGGTGTGCCAAAATGAGTGCGGTGGACGTATGCGAACGCAGCCGCTGGGGCCGTCGGTGGAGGCTCGCCTATGGGACCACGAAACGTGTTGCGGGTGTGCCAACATGGGTGCGGTGGGCGCATGCGAACTCAGCCGCTGGGGCCGTCGGTGGAGCTCCCTATGGAGCCTCGAAGCGTGTGATGGGTGCACCAAAATGGGTGCGGTGGGTCTCATGCGATCGCTGGCATTTGGGACTTCGGTGGAGCTTCTTATGGAGCCACGAAACGTGTGAACATGGGTGCGGTGGGCGCATGCTAACGCAACCACTGAGCCCGTCGGTGGAGCTCCCTATGGGCCACGTCACGTGTGAGGGGTGTGCTGACATGGGTGCGGGGGGTCTCATGCGAACGCAGCCGCTGGAGCCGTCCGTGGAGCTCCTTATGGGGCCACGAGCCGTGTGAGGGGTGAACCAAAATGAGTGCGGTGGGCGCATGCGAACGCAGGCGAGGGGGCCGTCGGTGCAGCTCCCTATGGGTCCGAAACGGAGGCGCGCGTTTGGCAGAGGCAAGGATGGGAGGAGGGAGGAGAGCAGGAACAGAGGAGAGGAGAGGAGAGGGACGCGGAGCGCTGTCTCGGACGGCTCTGTGCCTATGTACTGCAAGGACGGCTCTGTGCGCGCCTTGGGCTGCGCGAATCACTGGGCGCTCTCGCGATGCCCCCCTGGGGGAGAAGAGAGAATAAAAGGCACACAAACGGCATAAACATAAACTTTTGGCGTTACGCGCAGATTTCTTGGACCTGCGGGGGACCCCGTCCCTGGCGCGCGGAGCGCGCCAGGGGCGGCGCCGGAGGCGCCGCTGGGGAGGGCCCCGCGCGGATCCAAGAAATCCGCGTGGAGCGCCAAACGTTTCTGGTTATGGCGTTTTTCCTTCTTCGAGAAAGAGAAGGAAGAGGATGCGGATGAGGAGCTGCGAGCCGCGAACAACTTCGCGGCCTCTTGGCGGCCCTCGTGAAGAGACCTGCGCATGTAGGCAATTGAGCTATCCTTCGAGCGTCCTCGTCGGAGAGGATCGCGGGGCTGACGCCGGTGGAGAGGGCGCTCATGTACTGGCGCGCCAAGCACTCCTCTGGGTGACCCCAAAGGGGGTCCAGCTGAAAGGGGGTGGTGCAATAGATGTGGGGAAACTGTATTGCAAACGCATTGCGCCAAAGAATTGGATTGCATTGTTTTGCAAGTACTGTATTGCACGCGAAAACCCCGCAATACATCTGCACCCCGGAATGCATTGCAAGCCCCCAAAGTATTGCAACCCCACAAATCTATTGCACCGCCCCCTTGTCGCTGGACCCCATTTTGGGTCAACCCGAACTCCGTCTCGTTGGCGAGCCACAGCGCCTTCCGGAGGCTCGCGCCGTGGCAGATCATGCCGTGGTTGCCGAGCAGGCAGCTGCGGCGCGACCCCAGCGCCTCCAGCATGCTGTCGGACAGCTCCTGGGCAGGGCAGCCCAGGACCGAATCGACAAGTCGGATCTAGAAAAAGAAAAATAAAGAGGCCCAGGGACACGCAAATAAATACACACAAATCCCATGATTCCCGTTTTTTTATTTTCGTCTTTCCCCCCACTTCCCATATTTTCCCATATTTTCCTGGGAGTCGAGGATTCATTGTGTCTGTGTGTTTTTCTCCCTCCTGAACCCAAACACATAAGCATACACTTTTGGCGCTACGCGCCGATTTCTTGGATTCGGGCCTGGACGCCCCTCCCTGGCGCGCGGAGCGCGCCAGGGTCGGCGCCGGAGGCGCCGCCGGGGAGCTCAGGCGCGGAGCCAAGAAATCTGCGCGGAGCGCAATCTTTTGTGTTTATATGTTCTTCTTCTTATAGGATCGGCGATCGAAACGAATCGGATCGGCGGAAACCTGCAGCCGAGTCGGGAAACGTCGAATCAGCGGACATCGGCGGGCTGGCAGGCCTCCAGTCGGAGCCCAGATCGGCATCCCAGGTCGAACCGAATCGGAAGAGGAAGCCACCGAGAGCGAATCGAGTCGGCAAATTCGACAGGAGCCCTGTCCTGGGTGCCGAACGTGGCGTACCTGGAGCACTTGATCTCCTGCCGGCCGAGGTCCGGCGCATCGCGCGCGAGGGGGCCGCGCGAACCGGGTCGGCCTCCCGAGAAAGCGGCGGGGGGGGCCTCCGCGAAGGCGAGGCAGAGTTCAGGAAGGCCCGAAGGCATCTTCAAGGGCGTCAAACTTCGAGCTCTCGATCGGAGGCCACATGCGAACCCTGCCCCACCTCCCCACGATTTCTAAGGCGGGAGGTGGCGTGCACTTCGTGCGCCGAAAGGATGGGGAGCCGCGGGGACTCGGCGCCGACCTGCGACATCCGCTCGAACCTCTGGGTGGGCATGCGTATGCCGTTACTTTGCTTTCTGCTCTCCCGATCCTTGCCGCCGGCAGCCGCCACCATGTAGTGGAACGCTGGGATGTCCCGCCTGGACCCAAGATCGGGGGAGGAGGATCGCAAGTTAGGAGGCCATGTCCGTCCTCCTTCCCTGGCGAAGGCCATGTTGACAGACCTGCCGCCACCTCGTTGCGAGCAAAGATGGAGGAGGAAGAAAGCGGAAGGAGGAGGAGGAGGACGAGGAAGCAGAGATGATAGAAGAAGATGGAAAAAAAACAACGACCCCGATCCATCGTCCCGGAATAATGTAACATCGACGAAATCACGACCGGAACCATGGATACCGTCAACCTGCTGCATTTCTCGAGCCTGATCGACCTGTTAGGGCCCTAGCGCCCGAGACCGGACGGTCGGATCCAAACCGGGTCCAAGATGAGGCTAAACCGCTCAGGACCGTTCTGGAACCTTCTCAGGGCATTCTGGGCCGCTCAGAGAAGGCCGCAACGCCCGATGCATACCTCGGAACCGCCGGATCGCAAATAACGCCATGTATCCCGACCTGGTGTTGTGGCGATCCTGGCTTCGATTTGGGATCTCACGGGACGTCGGCGACGAAGGCCCCGCCTCTGACACGAGAGCGCCGTGCAATAGGTCGGGTGTGCGTGGACCACCGCCTGCGCCTCGGGCACGCGCTGGTAGATGTCGAAATGCATGCGCCATTCGCTCGAAGGCAGAAAGCTCCCGTAGTAGCCAGGCTCGAGGCTCACGAACACGATGTGTTCCTGGGAGGCCCCTCTTGCTCCTCCTCCTCCCCACCCCCCCTCCTCTTCCTCCTCCTTCTTTCTCCAACTTTCGGTAAGTGGTGTCAGCAGCGTCTCCCAAAGAAACACAACAAAAAGACGGAAAGGAAGACATCCGGGTTCCATCCAGGAGGCAGCGCCAACCACTTCTAAGAAGGCTATGGCATTCCCACCACCACTGACGTCCGCAGGCAGGATCGTTCCCGCCTGTTCTTGGCGAAGGGAGCTGGCACATCCTTGCAAGTGTAACAGCTCGTTCTCCTGCAACATATGCGTGGCAAGGCAAAACGTGAGGACAACATCGAACAAAACCTGGTCTGTCCTGGCGTCCTCCATCCTGGAGAACATGTCCCCCGCTTTCGTCCCTGATCCCGCCCACCTCCTGAAACCCTCCACCAAACGTTGGGTATGCAGCGCAGAACCGCCTGCGAACAGGCGGGCGGCCCTCCAAACCTGTAAAGGGGAAGGCGCTGAATTCAGTGACGGAGGCCATCCTGAGCCTCATTACTGCTGGCAAGCTCGAAGGGGACGGAATGCCTTCAACACAGTGGGGTGAGTGAGCATGCCTGGAGTTTCCATCACCGCGCAAACGTACATGATGCGAGTAGCCATCCTCCACAGCCGATTGGTTTCCGAAACAAATTGAGTTTCTTTCTCTGCGGGCTTTTGACTCCCCAAGGAAAACAACGGCTTCGGAGCTGCCTTCTCGCCTTTGTTCCAGCCTCGGCGCGAAAACGACTACGCAGGGTTCCAGGTGCTGTCAAGTGGGGCTGCAAAAAACCTGCGGGAACTTCCATCGAAACCGCCTCTGGCGAGTTCGTCAACTCGGGGCTTGTAACGCTTGTAACGCATCTCGGCCAATTCTTCATCAGTAGCGATTCCCGATGGACCGGAGGTCCGAAGCGGGTTTCCAGAGTCCGAGAATGGCTACAACAAAAAACTCGAATTCGCTACCCTCCTTACTCTGCACACTCGGGAGACCTTGTCTGCTCCATCGCGCCGCAATTCGCGTCGAATCCATGTCGCGTGCGGAATCCGTGCCGAATCCACGACGAACCCCCGCCGGACCTACAACGAATCCGCATCGAATCAGCGTCGAACCCGCGTCCGACACAAGACAATGCAGCAAATTACAGGACAGACGAGGTCACCGGGAGATGCCGCGTAGCCCCTCCCCCTTCCAAAGCGTGGGCTGGTGCTGGCAGCGATGGTCTCTCGGCTCCGTGGTCATCTTGTCGTACGGGACGCCCGAGGCCGTCACGAGGAAGCCCCCGGGCACGCGGCAGCTCGCATTGCCAGAGGTGCCCTGGTTGATGCCCATGGCGTTCATCTGCTCCGGAGCGCCCAGGGCCGCCGCGTGAAGGCGAGGGGGGGAGCAGCAACACTGAAACCCGACCACCAGGTGAGCCTTCATGGGCGCCTCTGTGAACCTCAGCGGCCCCATCATGAGGTCGGGCATGTCCCCCTACAGGGGGATGTTGGACGAAAAATAAAAAATACTCGAAGAATGCCCCCATGTATTCGAAAATAGTAGAGACACCGTCCCCAGACTATTGTTGACTATTATTGACTGGTTTTGAATATTCCCCCTGTAGATGGACAGGCCCGACTTAAGCTTATCGTAAAAGAGATGTCGACCGGATGTCGTCCATATTTCGGCCACCCCTCTTCACCTTGCGCCCAGATCCCGTCCAGATGTCGCCCGAACCCAGCCGAGATCCCAGAAACGCAGGCAGTGTTGGCCCCTCTGCAGAAGGCTCCCATGACGCACCGTACACAGCGAGGCCTCCGATATGGGGGTCCGAGTAGGTGCTGTCGAAGAACTGCGCCAAACCGCCGACGCATCGCCGACGCACTGGCGACGCATCGGCGATGCATCGGCGACGTCCGCGGTGCACTGGCGACGTCCGCGCTGAAAAAGTCGGGCCCCGCATCGAGCCGCATCGCCGATGCAGCGGCGCTGCGGCGGGACCTCCGACCCCCTCGATTCGGACACCACATGGGAGGCCCAGAGCACAACGATCCTCCTCCGAATCGCCGCCCTGCGCGGGGGAGCTTTGTGGATGCCATGACAATGGACACCTTAATAATCCGACCAATGAATTAAACATGTTTAAAATGATTGAACATGTTATGCAAGTGATTCAAACATCTTGAAACATGTTTCAGGCATGTTTGAAACATCTGTGAATATCGTTTAACCGATCCTGGCCGATTTACCCCCCTAGATGGGGATATAGGCCAATTGGGGGGGTAATTTGGTGGGGGTCTCGAAGGGGATGGGGATGGGGATGGGGATGGGTTTAACGATACCGGATCTGGAAACGATTTGGCAACATGCACAAGGGGAACTGAGCCACCCAACTTCACGCCGTCGTGCGCCCGCCCGGCGGGCGCCACCGGGCACCCTTCATATCGGCCCGGGCCGCGCCGCCTCGCAGTGCAGACCCGGGCGGGCGGCTGGGGCCGCACTGCGCGGCGGAAGACCTCCACTTCTCACAAGGACGGGGGGGCCTCCGAGCTTGCTGAGAAGGCCCGCCCTGTTCGGAAGGTCCATGGCCGTGCCCCAAGAAAATTCTTATAGACGCCGAAAAATCCCCTGGAGGCCCGGGGGCTTCCGAAAGTCCCGCCGCACGGAAGAGATGGACCCTTGAAGTTCCACTGATGCAACGGCGAGAATTCCCTCCGGGCCCCGCGATGTGCCCCACAGTTCCCGCCGCCACGAGAGAAGCGCGAAGGGGGGAGAAGGAGGAGGAGGAGGAGGAGGAGGAGGAGGAGGACGACGAGTAGGTGTATGTTAGTGCGGCGAGAACCGCGCGGGCCAGTTAAGGGGTAAGTGAGCGGCCGGAAAGGAAAGGAACATACTGGGCGAGGCAACTCTCGGTTTCCATGCGCCCCCGGCCATGGATTTACACAAGCGGCGGTCCACCGCCTCGCCCGTCGCGAGGGCTACCAGGCCGGGGGAGCGGGGGCCGTCGGCCAGGGCAGGGGTGCCCTGAGATCTTCGAGCCAAGCGTTTTCGCTCCAGTTCGGGCCCCGGGACCCTCACAGATCGATTCGGCTCGAAAAGTGACGCAGATCGGATCGGACCGCCTGTGCGGGCATGCGCCCGGGCCCCTTAAGGGCGAGGCGGGTGAGGCCATGGCCTCGCATGATAGGCAGCGCGCGTCGGAGGCTTGCTCAGGATAATGCGTACCTCATGAGTTGATGTTCCAATTGTTCCCACTCCTCTGTTGTAATCCGATGTGATGGCGTGGTTTCGTTGAAGTCGTGATGTCTGTGGCATGAACCTGTCCGAGAATCACGTGGATGTCATCGTCCTTTTTCGCAATTGTTTCTGCAACTTCGGATCTTTTTGCGATGTTGCAGTTTTTCTGCAACGTCCGATCTCAGGGTGTCGTCGCGGCCTTCGTGGGGGCCTGGGGGCGGAGGGGGCTGGTGCAGGAGGGCGCGGGAGGTCGCAGCGTAGCCTGTAGCGGGCGCGGGGGGGATGATCGTCTCCAGTTGAGTTGCCGCCACCTCTGTCACCAGGCGGCAAGTGTCGGAGTCCGAAGTGGCGCCCCCGTTCTCCTCGGGGCATGTCTCCCCTGACGAGACAGCGCTGTATTCGTAATCGTGCTCGTGGGGGTTGTCCGCGATGCTGTCGCGCTGGCTGTCGGCGAGGCCGTCACGGGGGCCGTCGTGGGGGCAGGCGCGGGGGCTGTCGCGGTAACCGCGGCCGTCTTCGTGCCCGCCTTGGCCGTCGCTGCCGCGGGGGTCGTCGCGCGGCTCCGTTGTGGGGTCGCCGTCGCGAAGGTCGTCGCACGGAGGCCGTCGCAGAAGGCGTCGTGGGGGGCCGTCGCGGGGTAGCGGGACAGGGGGTCGTCGGTTCGGTTGTCCTGTCGTCCGCCCAGCAGCCCGCGAGGGAAGCGCTTCCCGGGTAGCCGATGGAGGCCGTCGCAAGGTTCGTTTGGGGGCTGTCGTCTGCCGCTCCGGTGGTGGGAGCGCCCAGGGCCGAATTGATGTACGGGGGGGTCCCCTTCATAAGCATATCAGTATGTACACATATATAAATATACATGTACATATACTTATACATATATGTATGGGTCTAAGCATATACATGTATGTATATACACACACATACATACATACATACATACATACATACATACATACATACATACATACATACATACATACATACATACATACATACATACATACATACATACATACATACATACATACATACATACATACATACATACATTACATACATACATACATACATACATACATACATACATACATACATACATACATACATACATACATACATACATACATACACACATACATACATACATACATACATACATACATGAATACATACATACAACCACACACACATACATACATCCATACATGCATGCATGCATGCATGCATGCATACATACATACATACATACATACATACATACATACATACATGCATGCATGCATGCATGTAGTATGCATGCATGCGTACGTGCATACATACATACATGCATGCATATTTACATACAATCATACACACAACCACACATCTAAACATAAGTATTCACACACTTATACACATGTGCACATGCAACACACTTAACATGACCATCTATACATACATACAAGAAAGACATCGGGAACTCTATAGACTTAGAAAGAAAGGGGAATAGCGAGAAAGACATGGAGATACGAAGCGAACCACATTTAGAGAGAGAGAGAGAGATATATGACACACGACCACAATAAACAAACAGATCACAATTGGTGTTGGCGCGTTCGGGGTGCCTCCCTCCCGGGCGTTCGTTAACGCGAGGGGCCTCACAGCCGCGGCGCCGAGACGCCTCGCGCAGACAAGCAAAAAACAAGCCTGTCGGCTGGCCCTCCTCCGACCGTGGAAGAGGAGGAGGAGGAGGAGGAGGAGGAGGAGGAGGAGGAGGAGGAGGAGGAGGAGGAGGGGGAGGAGGAGGAGGAGGGGGAGGGGGGGAGGGGGGGGGATGGGGGAGGAGGAGGAGGAGGAGGGAGGAGGAGGAGGAGGAGGAGGAGGAGGAGGAGGAGGAGGAGAAGAAAAAGGAAGAGGAGGAGGAGGGGTGGGGAAACCGAAAGGTAAGCTCGACAATCACTGTGTGCGCACCGCTAGTCCTCCCCCCATGGAAACCTGGCCTTTCGCGGCGGCGTTGAGCTATCCGACTGTAGGCACGTGTCGATGACCTCCTGGCGCCTGCCCGCGTCTGCGGCCTCGGGCGGGGGCGCCCCCGGCGGCGGCGCAGCTGCGCCTGCGTCCGGGCCAAGGGCACTCGGAGGAGGGGCGGGTGGAGGATCCCTCCTCCCGCCTCCTTCCCCCTTCCCTCCTCCTCAGCTGCCGCCCCGGTTCGAGAGGCTTCGGGTGCTGTAGTAGGCACAGCGAACCTCTCTCAGGGCGGGCGGCCGCGCGCGCCGGCCCGCGCCCGCGCATCGGGCGCGCGGGCCCCGCCGCGCCGCGGCGCACTCCTGCGGGCGGCACGCCGCGTGGCATAGGCGCGGCACGCCGAGGGCAGCGAGCCAGCGTGGCACAGGCGTGCCCGACTGCAGCGTGCTCAGGCCCAACTTGTACTGCGTCTGGTGACCGCCGCGAAGTGACTCGCAGCGCACCGCAGCGCCATGGCGTGGCAGGCCAGAGGCAAGAGCGGCGGAAGAAAGGGCGGTCAACATTCCCCACCGTCCCCGCCGTGGTGGTGTCCAGCACGCGGGCACGCAAATGCTGCCAGCGACCTGATGTGCAGGACCTGCTGCCCACTGCCGCAGCAGAGTCCCGCGGCGTTCAACGTGTTCCGCGATCAGCCGCAACGCCAGCAACATCAGCAGCAGCAGCAGCATGCACCAGCGGCGGCGGAGGCGTGCTTCAAGGCCAGCGCACAGCAGCGCTCAGCCCAGTCGTCAGCGCAGCCCGAGCCGTGCTCCGCCGCCCGCCCATCCCCAGCAGCGAGATGGCGAGCCTGCGGAGGGGCTTGCCCAAAAATTGCCCCCCCGACGCAGGTCATCACGTCGCCGCTCGCCAGCCACAGAAGTCACGTTCGACGAGTGTGAGCCTGAATCGACCGAGGAGACGGCGGACCGTCCAGCAGGCCCACAGGAGGCCCTCGGTGTGCTGCCTGCAATACCAGAGCAGGCGCGTGCGCACCCGTCGGCAAAGATACTTCGCGCGTCCCGCGAGCTCGGCCTGCCGACCAGCACCCTTGAGGCACAGGAGCAGAAGTACTCCGTCCCCATGACAATGATCATCGTAGCCAGGACCCCGGAGGCGCGCCTGGCGAGGCAGCGGGCGTTCGTCGAGCGTGCCCAACGCCGATCCGATCGTGCAGAGAAGGCGGCGCACGAGGCCATGATTGAGCACAGGGCTCGCCAGCTGGTCCAGTAGCATCGTGCCAACGAGCTGCCTCGCGCACAAGTCTTACTTCAGCA